GGGGGCGAGTTTAGTCCGACGACGGAGGGACATGAGGGCCAAAAAGAGCGGAGATCCAGCTGGAAAAAGGGTCCCAGCGTTCTCGCTCACCACGCTCTTCTAGCAGGTCAAACTTCACGAGTTGTTTTTCTGCAATTTCTGTCATAAAAACAAAAGCAGCCGGCCTCCTGTCTGTGGCACTGTTTGCTGTCAGCTACAATTTGGGAGAGGAGCAGCGGAGCGTCTGTGGAATTGCATTCATTGCACTGATTTTGTGCATTATTTTTTGATGCAAGGCCTTTCAGAATCTATAACGCAGGGGCATTATTATTTTTTTAGTAAATGAGGTTTTAATAGGAATAGGTGGAGTAAAACTTTTCTGCTTCTGTTATTTGCTGTTGTTTCTCAAAAAAAAAAAATGCATAACGATATTACAGCTTTAATTGATTTATTTCAAATTTGAAACATTGTCTAGCCTGTAAGGTGTAAAAAAAAAAAAAAGAAGCAATTAATCGAATCGTATCGTGGTGTATTCTTGAGTATCGAAAATAATCGAATTGTTGGGTCAGGAAATCGATACTGAATCGAATCGCCATGATGGATGTGATTTACACCCCTGGTCCTGAATCAGGTTTGTGTTCTAAAATGCTGTGTAAAATTTAGACTTGTTGTGACATGTGATTTGAATCTCTGTCTGGTTAGTCTACAGAATGTTTTTCCAATAGTCTTCAGGATAATTACTATGTTTATCGACAAATATGAGACTGGCCTTTTAGTTTTTGGTTCAGTAGTTANGACAAATATGAGACTGGCCTTTTAGTTTTTGGTTCAGTAGTTAGGTTTATTTAAATACCTTTTCCTTTTGCTCGATTTCTGTATTATTTTTCAATCTTAACCGCTTAACATCCACCTCATTTTGGGTAATTCTCGCCTATTTTGCATACCCATATGGAAAAGCAAATAACTTGGGTACTGTAAGTCCAAATTACATGTGCAATACATTATTTGAGCTAACACCCTCTAGTTTCCAAATATATATATTAAAATCGGGTGAATAGAACACAGATCAACCTGCATCAGTTCAAACATGACTCAAAGTTGTTTTTTATTATTCTCGGAAATGATAGGTCTTTTTTGAACAGCAGTAATAAAGACATTCTTGAGAAAAAGTAGTATTATATTTATATTATATTTGTTCTACATCATGTCAAACACAAATGTAGAAAATTTCAGACCTCTAGCTATAACAGTTCCAGAGCTGTGGGGTTTTGAGTTTTTGGTATCAGCTTTGAGCTGCGCGCAATGGCTCCACCTACTGGTAAATATTTTACGGGTGGAATTTTATGCATTCTGAATTATTACCCTAACTAAAGGTCCACCGGGTCGCCGGTGACCCGGTGGGTTTTAAGAGGATAAACTGACCTTAACTGAGGTAGGGTAGGAGAGGCCTGCTGTATTTTATACATTGTTCTAAATCAGTGGTCTCCAACCCTGGTCCTCAAGATCTACTGTCCTACAGTTTTTAGATGCATTCCTGCTTCAACACAGCTGAATCAAATTAATGGCTTGAAAATGTAATCAATCATTTGATTCAGCTGTGTTGAAGCAGGGATGCATCTAAAATCTGTAGGACAGTAGATCTTGAGGACCAGGGTTGGAGACCACTGTTCTAAATTCTTTTATCGCCTCCTGGAAGAATCATTTGGATCCAATTGTGATTGCCTAGTCAC